GGTGGAAAGAACCTGAGCCTATATGAAACATAATCACCCGAGGATGCCCAGAAATAGCCAGGGAAGAGTAAGCAGACTAGAGAATCCTGGGTGTTGAAGTCTTGTCAGTCAGGTGAAGCTTTGAGGCCACGGCCATATAAATATTAATTGACCGCAGTTATACTTGTGAAGTTGCACTAGCAACTTGGGAACTGTGCAATAATTGCTAATCCACTTGTTCTTTCTTTGGACCCCTGTCACCCTGGCTGTTACTGGGTTCCTGCCACCAGATCCATGGCTCCAAGCCTGAATCCATTCCTGTCCCTTCAGAGAAGTACAGGCTGACCCATTTCCTGGGCCCTCTCCTGCCCACCTACTCTTCCTTCTCTGGGCCTAGTTTTCATATACTTGGACTCAGCTTCCCTGAAGCTCTGCTCTCCCTTCTGAATTTTAATGACTGCTATTGTGGTACAGTAAAAAATACATATCTGGTCTTTGTCTGGGTCCTGGCATAGAGCTCCTCGGCTCCTAAAACCCTTGGGATTTTCTGAGTGACAGGAGTCTCTTTTGTATGAGGTAACTCATGGCAAGGCCCATAGAGAGCCTCAGGATTGGGGGGCTGGCACCAAGGAAGCCACTATGTGATCAGAGGGTCGGAACTGTCAGCCCCAGCCCCACCCTCCAGGGAGGAGAGAGGAGCTACACATCTCACCAATGGCCAATGATCAGCCAGCCATGCCTACATAATGAGACTTGGAAGAAAACCTCTGAAACAGCAAGGAGGCTAAGGGAGCATCCAGACAGGTGCACCCATGGAGAGGCAGTGTGCCAGAGAGGGCACAGAAGCCCGGACACCCCCTGCCCCCAATTCTTACCCCGTGCTTCTCTTCCATTTGGCTGTTCCTAAGACATACCCTTTATAATAACCTGAAGTTGTGAGGAAAATGCTTTCTCCGTTCTGAGATGTTCTAGTGAGTTATTGACCTGAGGTGGGGAAGAGTCATGGGAATCCCTGAATTTATAGTTAGGGTGGCCTGGGGACCGCATGTGTGGCAGGCACCTGAAGTGGGGGCAGCCTTGTGGAACTGAGCCCTTCGCCTACAGATAGGCTGTGCTGACACCGGGAAGTTAGTGTCAGTGAGTCGTTGGACACCCAGCTGGCGCCAGAGAACTGGGGAGTTGACGACTGTCAGAGAATGACACAACACCCATCACAGTCAGCGTGCTGATATTCTTCTTAAATGTACTCACCGTTTCAACACTGCCAGATGGTAAGGATATTCTCACAGCCTTGCTCAACTGACTGACGCGTGAGCTGCCCCAGAACCGTCAGGTGAGCAGTACCTCCAACACCTTTGCATCCCGGCCAGAGCCACCAGCATCTCCCACCTAGGCTGTGCTAACCACCCACAGTGCAGCTCCCCACTTCTCCCCCAGCCTCTGCCGGGCAGCTAGAAGGATCCTGTAAAAATGGAAGTCAGATCACGTCACTCCTTACATCCTGCAGTGGGTCCCCGTTTCCTTCACTGAGTCTGGCACCTGGGCGACCCCTGCAACCACACCTTCACCTGGCCCACCCTCACTCCTCCAGCTTGCCAGCCTCCGCCTCACTCTTGGAACATGCCAGGCAGCTCCCACACAGTGGCTCTGCACACGCTCCCCCATCAGGCACATTCTCCCCCTAACAGCTTATGACTGATCCCCTCGCCTCCCCAAGTGTTTGTTCAGACTTCACCTTCTCCATGAGGTCTGTCCTGACCATTCTGTTTAAAATTGTGATTCATTCTCCTGTGAGCCCATCCAACTCCCACCTCCTTTTCTTTTTGTTCCATCGTATAAGGTATTTCTTTTTCAGATTCATTGTTCTCTGTCTCCCCCGGCTGGAATGTAAACTCACAAACATCAATACCTATTTCAATTTCATTCCCTGATGCATTGGCACGCAGTATATGCTCAGTTCACATGGGCTGAATGAGACTTTAACAGCAGCAGTTCGTCTGGAGATCCTAACTGGAAGGGCTGCACTGCACCCCCAGGTTGGATGTCGAGGCGGATGCACTGGGCAGACCCCAGCGGGACGCAGGAGAGGCGGGTCCAGCGGGGACGGGGCTTGAGCCTGAGCAAGCCTCTCTCCTGGAACGGACTTCAGAAGGCTGCCTGGAACCCTCTTTTCAGTGAGCCTCCTGGGCCTCCATCTCTCACCCACCCAACCCAGTTTTAACAAGAATCCTGCTAAATCAGTTTAGCAAAAAATCTCTCTGCCCTTCCTATCTGATCACCCCAATAGCTAATCAAACTCACGCCCTCACCCTTGATACCTGATCACCCTGGTCACCTTCAGCAAGAATTCTGTCCAGGTGGTTTAGCAAAGATCCCCACCCCCCTCCCATGTCCTCTTATCACATTAATACATCATCGGAGCAATCCCCTCACTCGGTTCCTTGGCTCTAAATTGCCAACTGTCTTTGCTGTATTCGGAATTGAGCCTAATCTCTCTCCTCGATCACAACGCTCATAACACTCCAATAGTCCTGAATAAAGTCTTCCTTGCCGTTACAAGTATCAAAATAATTTTTTCTTTAACCAACCCTATGTATGAGTCTGAGCAAGTCACATAACTTCAGTTTTCCCATCTGTCTACCAACACCCATAAGAAAGGATTTCAGACAGTGCCACCAGCCTGAATCAGTCCCAAATATGCCAAGCTCCCTGGCACATAGTAAACAGATCTGTTCTCTTGCCATCCTAGGGGATGGTTTCCAAATTCCGGGCCACCCCTCTGTACCCAGGAATCTGCTCTTTGTGCTGGCACATCCTCATGCTCCACTGTCTGCCCTCCTGACAGCAATGGAGAGAGAACCAATCCCAAAACAGCCTTCAACAAGTGAGATTAAGTCTCAAATTTTAGCTTAAATATTCAGATGGTATATTCAGCAACATACCTCCTTTCATTGTAGCATAACATTTCAGATAAAAAGTCAGATAAAAAAACTTAAATTTAGCTTAAATTTGAAACACTGAAAAACCCAATATTTGTTGTTTTCTTTACCTTCAAAAATATTTATTCATTAGACAGAGGAAGTGTTTCAGTACAACTTGCCTCCTAGCAAATCAGGATTAATCAGGACTGCTTGTTACTTAACTTTGTGAATGCATAAGAGTATTGAAACTACTTAATGGATTTCATTTTTACTGACCAATTAGGATATTTGTAGCTGTTTATCAGATAGATAATCTAACTTATTTTCCCAGAGTATTTACATAAGGCCAGTACTCTGAGAACGGCCTGAGTGTTAACGCTGTGGTGCTGAGCAAGGCTTCACCGCCTACACCCCTGAAAACTTGCGGTACAACACCCCAGAGATCAAGCAGCCCAGACGGGATCGTTCTTAAAAGCTTTACAAATTGTTATCTTGCTCCAGGAACAAGGAGACCAGGCAATCAAGTTTTACACATATACGGTCTTAATAAGACAAGTATTAAATGTCTCAGTAAAAGTGTGTTTATAAAAATATTGATGCTTTGACTCAGTTCACGTGTATTCATAAATGTTGCTTTTTCTAGTCACATTTTAGTTTTAAGTAGGTATATAAATAAGCTTTAAGTAACTAAGTACATAAATTCTGAGGAAATTCTAAAGTACCCAAAGTCTATGTAATCTGTAAAGATATACTCAAAATTAGTATAATTTTTTCCAACTATAAATAGAATTTATCCCCTAGTTACTGCAAAGACAATCTAATCTGCTTATTTTTCAACATCTATCTGTTAGATGTTGAAAAATCAATCCTGATTGTTGAACATTTCTACTTAGCATCAAATTTATGACAGCATCAATGATTCTTTATAATCACATCTCTTTAAAATAAATTTATAAATGAAATTATTTCTGACAAATCAGTTAACTGGTAAGTTCAATGAAAATGAATTCACCTTTAATTTGAAAAACATCTACTTTCAAAACTAAAGAGGAAGCACTATGTGGAAGCATTTCAGAAGGTAAAAAAAAATCCACAGAAATACTGTGAGATAAAATGCATGCTGATACGTGAGTACACTTGTCGCATATTTAAACAATTGAGCACCACTAATGGTAAGAAAATTCATCTCAGATGGCTTCTTACAATACTAGAAACTAAAACAATCAAATATCCTAAGTCTTTTTATCTGTTGACATCATTAGGTTACAAGATGTGAAAGTTTGCCTGATCTCTATGGCACTAAAATTTCATTTATGGAACGTACTATTTGAAGGCAGCATTCAAAACCAATGAAAGAGTGTTTTGCTATATGCTTATGAAAAAAAAAGACGAGCACATAGAAATTTCAGAGATTACTATAAATATATATAAATATGTTTTTGCATAAATCCTCAAGCTTATAAAATAAGCATATGTCCTTATAAAATAGCAACTAAATTTGAGGAAGGTAGCAAGCATTATTTTTATCATCATAGTTTATAAAGGAAAAGCAGGCTGCTCACTCTCCTTTCTCAAATTACTTCATGCAATTCCAAGTACTTCACCATTGTTTATATAATATTTTTCAGATAATCAAATGGCCAGTAAGAGGTACTAATTATACATCTGATGAAGGAGAAAATGGGAAACTGTCCATTACAACAGCCACAGCAGGAGACAGAAATCCAAAACCATCTGGAAAATGTAATGGTCTGCGGCCGGGGCTTTGAACTAGCGCACACAACTCCAGCTAGAACGGGAGGACCTACACTCCCTACACACTTCTACTTCCAGAAAGCTCTCCTTTGGTTTGCCTACCTGTGCTTCATTTGGGAAAACCCAGAGAGCCTTAAAATCTCAATGCAAACGGTTGTAATTTAGAACAATAACTCATTTACCTATTCCCCTCGGTCTCCATGTTCACTTCCGGAGTATCTGTTTGTGCAAACCATGAAAATATTTTCCTTTCTTCTAAGCCTTTCGCTGGTGTTCCCTTTAAGTGGGCGTTCCACGTTCAGCTCCGCCCGGCCAGTGAAAAGCCTGCCTTCCCCTCCGCGTCCTCTCATCATCCGATGCCCGAAAGCATTGTCACAGCCGTGTCCGTGCTCCTCCGAGCAGGGGGCCGCTGCAGTCTGAACGTCGGGGCCGCCTGGATTACGCCTTCTCACCCAACAGGCCACACAAGTTCTTCGGTAAATAGTATTGATTCGCTAATTGTTTTCTGGCTTTGCCTCAAAGCATAAGTAAGCTCTTTTCATCTGAGAAACTCCTGCGTTTCCTTTGAAGGCTGGGGGAGGACGCGGCGGAAGATCCTGGAGACGGTGTTCCTCACCTCATCTCAACGGAGGTTAAACACTCGCCGGCGAGCACCCTGCTTCTGGCCCCGGTGCTCCTGCATCTTGGCATCACTTCTGCGACCCTGAAAGAAAAAGTAAGGGAGGGTAAAGGAAGGAGCAGGGAAACGGCCTCAGCGTAAAGGCACTGAAATGTGATTCCTCGTGGAACACGGCCGTGGTTCTCCACTCAGGTGACTTTCTAATTATAAACTGCCCGTCACACCGCAGCCCTGCTGAAGAGCACGGCATTAATCCCTCTCCTCGCAACCAGGGGCACACGTGTGTAACTAGATGGGAAACCAAAAACATTTCTACTTAATTTAGTTTCATTTTCTCACTCCCATACATTGCTTCTCATTCCTCTATTTCCCTGACTTCTTCCAAGTGAAATATGTGCTTCACAGGATGTGCCTTTTTTAAAGGAACAATACCCTTAAATCCAAAATATAACTTTACACATAATACATGCTTGAAAGCAAAATATCTATACTACAAAAGGAAAAAAAAAATGTGTCTAAAAGCCAGTCTTTATTTTGCTCCTAATATTCTCAATAACCATTGGTGCCTGTGATAGTCTAAGTTTTAAGAAATAAACTAAAAAAGAAAATGACAAACTTTTACAACAATGATCAGAGGGACACATGAGATTGCATTTTGTATCCATTCATGCAACTATCATGGTTATAAATACTTCATAATTTTCAAGGTGATCTCCTAGATATTACCACATTTCTTTGTGATAATATCTTCTTTGAAGTAGACTGAACAAGAGACTTAGAATTGCTAATATATGCTAAGAAACTGGGTCACATGAAGTTAAGTAACCTTAAATGCACTCAACTAGGAAATGAGGGCCTGGAAACTGGAAAACCAGCTCCTGACTTCTTACTCTGTAGCTGCTACCCAACCATGCTTCATTGCAGACAAAAGTGATGCACAGATAATAGTCTAAGCTATACTTCCAATGCCATAGATTCTTGGATTCATTAAAACCCATGAAAAGGACTAAAAATTCACTGTAAACACTTCCCCAGCAACTTGCTATAATAAAAACAGTATTTCATGGGTGAGATTAATGGAATAAACCAATCCAAAATCCTATTATTCTTTCATATAAAATCATATATCCTAAAATTTTGATTGCCATGTGTCAAGAACTAGAGAAACTCTATATTTAAAATTACAACTAAAGAATTAAAATTAAATGAAGAAATTCTATAACAGGATGAAATCCTTTTGTTTGATAGTGGATTTTAGAAATAGGACTCTTCAACTTGAAATGTTTAAGTTAAGAAAGATTATGTATAATAAAGTGGAGAATTATGGTCAATTTCTTTGTAAAACAAAGAGGACTGGAGTAATTCTATGTTATTGCCACCTGTAAAAATCTGATTCCAGACAAGTATATCTATTTTTAATTCATCAGTAATTCTGAGAAAAGGAATCAATCCAAATATGTCCTTGAAATAAAAAAGATTTTGTCAGTTAAAATGTCATTTTAAGTATAACCATAAAATATGAATATATTGCAGAACAGATACAGGTTTATGACAAAATAGGAGATTCCAAGGGAAGTCTGGAATTAGTTGTACTTGAAGTAAGGCTGCCAAGGCTTTGCCTTCAGCCCGCAAAGGTCACCTGTTGATGGTGTTCTGTCTCCGTGGGAACATTAGAGGGAAATAAATACAGATCTGAGTGGAACGCTGCATGTTCATGCTTATCAACCTCACTGAATAGAGAGTTCCATCTCTAACTCCAGTTTATCAATATCTTTAAAATACATATTCCGTAACTGGAATATTACTTCGAATTACATGGCATGTTTCATACAACTACTAAAAAAAAAAATCTTTGAATAGTTTTTCCTAGATATCTCTGAGCCCTAATGAATGTACTATTATCAAGCACATTTATTTCTATCATTTCTAGCAACATATGCGGACTTTGCCCAGTGTATTGCTTAGGCCAAGATACAGTCTTTCTCCTGCCTGCACTGAGTTACCAGTCAATACTCTTGTCAAATGTGCAAGTACATTAACATACATGATATGTTCTCGATGAGCCCATGCTGGGTCCCAGGGACCACTGTGTCCCTGTCTAACAGCTCCCAAACTCTCTCTCTAGTAATCCAATCTTTAAATTTAACATCACCTCAATATTTAACACCTAACCCACAATTTAGAATTCTGAAAAATATTATTTCCTTTATTGACATTGGCAGGTTTGTAGATGTACATCTCTGCAGGAGCTGTCTTATTGCTCAGAAACTACCCCGGGTGATTGAACAACTGTGTATGCCAATGAGATCGTGCATGTGGATGAGAGAAGGCAACCTGTTGCCTGGAACATCAGTTTCCCAAACTATAGTCACTGATGAATCACCCTCATATTTTTTTTTCATATTTGTGATGGAACATAGTTGCATTATGGAATTAATGGAATTTTGGGGGTATCTTTGGCCTATTTGTGGGCCAGCTGTTCATTATTTAATATTTTTCCTTAAAATGGCTCTACTTAAATAAATGTGTTACAAAAGGAAACTTCCCATCCACAAAATGAATGGAAACCTAGTATCATGTGTCATAAAGAGGGTAACTACAATGATAAATAAAATTAATGCAAAGGAAATCTTATTAAATTCTGGTTGGAGACAAGCACCATGAGAAACACTGAGTCTCTGACCTGTTCTTCATGACAAATGGAGATTAGTAAATTTATGGTTACATTTACAAGCCTTTAATGATTTCACTTGGAATGAAAAAAGGCCGAAAATAAATATCCATTTCAAGAACTTAGAAAAAAAGTAATGGGGATAAATCAGATATGAAATCAAGATGAGAGCAGAATTAAGTGGAAAACAAAGATACAATGGAAAATACCAGCAAAACCAAAAGAAGTGTTCTTTAAAAATACTAATAAAATTGGCAAACTTGTGGCAAGACTAGACATGATAAAAACAAAGATATCACACACATACAGAAAAACAATATTGGGAATGAAAATGGGATACACCAGAAATCAAATAAGAGAATATTATAAAGACTTTAAGATAACAAATTTGCAAATTTTGAAAATAGACAAATTCCTGGGAAAAAAATGAACTACCAAAATGAATTGAAAAAATGAGTCAATCCTATTGAAAAGATTCAATCACAGACATTTAAAACCTCCCCACAAAGAAAACATCAGGCTGTATGGTTTTACTGATGAGTTGTATTAAATTCCAATAAACAGATAACTCTAATATTTTATAGATTTGACCAGGCAACATAAAAACAGACAACAAGGCCAAATAATTTCATTAGGCTGATAATATTCCCAAATTAGATTATCTAAACTACTTTGGGACAATACAAAAAAGGAAAATTACTGGTTAATCTCACTTAGGAACACAGATGAAAGTACATATTAGCAAGCTGAATCCAGCAATGTATAATAAAAATAATACCTTATGAGCAAATTGATGGATTTGTCAGAGGATAAAATTCAACATCCATTAATGACAAAAAGAAAGGAAGAGAGGGAGAGGAAGGGAGGGAGGGAGGGAGGGAGGAAGGAAGGAAACAAAAACCATTTGGTAAATAGCAAGCAGACAAGAATTTCCTTAAAGGAAAACCTCATACTTCCTGTCTCTACTTCCATCCAACATTTTCCTGCAGGTGCTGGCCAGTACAAGACAGAAAAAGCAGAAGAAGAGCAAGGAAGGATAAAGGGTGGGAGGGGGAAACAAGACTGTCGCTATTCATAGATGGAATATTCCATAAAAATTTAAAACAACTGAATTAATAATAAAGTGTATCAAGATTGCTGATACAAATTCTATATACCAGCAAGAGGGGCTTTTCAAGGCTTTTTTTAAAAGAGCCATTTATAATAACAGGAAAAAATAATTTCCCTTGCAATGATTATAACAAAATGACTTATAAAGAATTTTAGAAGAAAATGGATAACTTTAACAAAAGACATTAAAGAGGTCCTTCCTAAAAGGGACATATGAGCTGGATAAGACAGCTAAATATAACTGAAATGTCAACTCTCCTAAAATTGATCTTTTAATTCAAGGGATTTCCAATCAAAATTCCAACAACATTTTTAAATAAAACTTGACAAGGTGATTTTTAAAGTTTTAATCAAAAACAAAGTAACAAGAATAAAGAAAGACACTCCAGAAAAGTAAAAGATTTGCTTTCCTAAATATCAAACCTTAATGTAAAACCATAATAACCAAGTTAGTTTGGTATTCACACAGGAACAGAGTAAAAAGCTTAGAAACATACTTAGGCATTAAGGGAAATATGACAGAGGTATTTGGAGAACTCAGTGGGGAAAGCTGGGCCATTTAAAAAAATGTTACTGGGACAAGTGGTTATCTGCATAAAAAAATGTATCTGTACTTCATACTGTACACAAATATCAATGACAGATGATTGAGGGTATATGTGAGAAAATCAAACCTTCGAGTTTTTAGGAAGAAATATAACAGAGTGCCTTTATTACCTCAGGATAGAGAAGAATTCCTTAACCAGCAAATAGAAAGTACTCTTCGTAAAATAACAGATGTCACATTAAAATGAAGAACATCCATTCACCCAAGGCAAGCTACATAAATCAGTCAATATTTGCCACACAGATAATTGTCATAAGTTGTGTGTCCAGGATATATAAAGAACTACTGACAATAAAAAAGGAAACAACCTAAAAAGAAAAGTGGGTGGATTGGCTTAAAGATGGTGATGTGAGAGATGAGACACAAACCTCCTCCCAAAACCACATATAATATGAAAATATAGCAAACACAACTAATACTGAAAGAGTAACAGGAAAGCAGGAATGTGGCAGATTGCCTACACCTGGGAAACAGAGCAGACCTTACTGGAAAAGGGTAAAGTACCAAAGCCCTGACCTGGCAGGACCCAAACCCTTCCCCCACCCCAGCTCACCGGCAGGAAGAAGAGAAATATAGCAGGGAGTGGGTGGAGGCCTAGGACTGCTGAACACCGAGCCCTGGAGATATGCTCTGGGAGCAAAAACTTACATTACATGGTACTCTGGAGATTACTAGGGTTAGAAAGCTAAGACAGGCAGAATACTTGGAGAGAATGAGATTTCAGATACTTGTGGAGAACAGGTACCAAAAAACAGCCACTTTGTAACAGAAGGTGACCACTCTTGCAAGACTTCTAACAGTGATAGGGCTGCTAAAGGGGCAAGGGCTGTACAGAGCTTGATGCTCAGGAGAAAGGACAGGTGGACAAAATTGTCCCGGTGCAATCAGCCCAGAAGGTTGGGAACTTTCAAGAACTTCAAGCACTCCATCGCACTGGCTGGCAACACAGCTATGAGGCCCCCTACCATGATACACAGCCTGCCACTCATTCACCCCAGCTGGCACCAGCTTGCAAACAGGCTACCCCCACCATTGTGCCTGGCCAGCCAGAGGACGAACTTGCCTATGGCAGCTACAAGTCCATAGCATAGAGGCTCTGCCCTGCATGCTCAGCCCACTGGCCCTGGCATGGGAAACAGGAAAGAGCCCTTTCCTCCAGACAGGCACCAGCAGCACTCACCTGTGATCCCCGCCATCTCTCCAGGGGCTGAGCACCTTGAGAGAGTAGAGCTTCTGAGTACTAGAGGGTGTCACCTACAAATGTGAAATGTCAAAGGAACCTGGTTCAAACCAAAATCCCACAAACACTAGAAAGATGGCCAAGTGAAACTGAAGTCACCAATCCCGCTGAAAGAGACCTCAAAATAAAAATCCTAAAAACACTCATGGAGCTACAGAAAAATATTCAAGAACTCAGGGACAAATTTAGGACAGAGATTCAATCATTAAGAAATTCCATATCTTTCTTAATGATTAGAGAATAGAAATTAGAGAAGAGAAATATGAAGAAGCTGAGGCATAGAGAGAAAAAAAGGATCTCTAGGAATGAAACAATATTGAGAGAACATTGTGACCAATCCAAACGGAACAACATTCACTTTATAGGAGTACCAGAAGAAGAAGACAGAGAGAAAGGGATAGAAAGCGTCTTTGAGGAGGTAATTGCTGAAAACTTCCCCAGTTTGGGGAAGGAGATAGTCTCTCAGGCCATGGAGGTGCACAGATCACCCAAAACAAAGGACACAAGGAAGACAACACCAAGACATATAGTAATTAAAATGGCAAGACCAAGGATAAGGACAGAATATTAAAAGCACCCAGAGAGGAAAAAAAAGATCACATACAAAGGAAAACCCAGCAGGATATCATCAGACTTCTCAACAGAAACCTTAGAGGCTAGAAGGGAGTGACATGATATAGCTAATGGAATGAAACAGGAGGGCTTCGAACCAAGAACACTCTACCCAGTAAGACTATCATTTAAATTTGATGGAGGGATTAAACAATTTCCAGATAAGCAAAAGTTGAGAGAATTTACCTCCCACAAACTGTTCCTACATGGAGGGACTGCTATAGATGGAAATGTTCCTA